GGGTGTTAGAGTTATATTTATGATGCCCTTTGGCTTTTTGTATTTTGGCATTTGGCCTCCAACCTGTACTTGTATATATGTTGGCTTTGGCCTCTCAATAATAGTATGTTGCTGTTTATCTAACAGTAGGAAGCCATGTTCGTGAGCCAATTCATTACTGAGTCATTTGTTGTTCCGGGCACTTGGAAGACACATGAAGCACGACACAGTCGCCAGCTTCATCTGATCTTTGTCCAATGTAACCGAGGTCACAGGCTTTACCTCCTCCCTGTCTATGGGAACGGAGTCCGCCGGCTTGATCTCCTCATCGCTGAGAAGGGAGGTCGCCGGCTGCATGGGATGAGAGGTGGCCGGCTCCACGGGATGGGAATTCGCGTCCTTGCCGTGTTGATTCTCCATGTGGACAAGGGAAAAGAGATGGCCGAATATGTTCACATGATTGAAGGAAGAAAAAGACGGAACAAGATTCTTTTCCCCTAAAACTAAGGCCGGCTGGATATTATGCACCACGTCTAATTTTTCTTTCCTTACTAACCTACACGCATGCACAAAACAGACGGGATGGGCTGTGCCATCTTTTTTCTAGGAAGGTAATTGCACTGTTGATAGGAACCGGGTCCCTACCAGGACGAGCTCTCAAGTTATAGGGGTGGAAGGAGGGTTGGCATGGAGGAAGGTGCGGCCGACGGCACCGGGGCGCTGTGATCGCGCGCGAGAGAGAGGGGGCGGAGGGTGCGGCTAGGGTTAGGTCTCCCGGCTCCTTAAGGAAGCCGAGCAAATATGATTACTTCTGCTTAACTTCAAAACGGGTCCTTACATGAGTTTATATAATCCTCCTAATAAGATAATTGGGCTAAGCCCCTAATATGATAAGATAACTTGGGCCAAGCCCCTAACTGCCTGCGCTATTGGGCCTCCTCCGGCTGTACTGTATGCCGGTCATAACAACTGTAGCTAGTGGAAGGGTCAAATTGTCAACTAATCAATACACCATATAATCTGAACTTTTTCTCAAAAATCTGTACACCTTATATCTGGAACGGAGGGAGTATGTGTTTGCCTACCTTCCCTATATTCCTAGTTAAAGGAAACCTTGTGACACGACTGTTCATTTGTTTATTTCAAACTAAATGCATTGTTTTTATCTGTAATTCCTGCACCAATTTTATTCCTAGAATATATGTTTAGTGTTACACTGTACCATGGTTGTGTTCCAAGAACTGTCTGTGCATGTGTGTTCTCAAAGTTAACCGCCTAGGTGGTGCTAGGCAACTCCATGCCGCGTCATCCGCCTATCCGATTTATCCTGCCAGTGATTAGGCACTAGTTGCTGCTCTGCTCGCCTTGGTCAATACTAGCGTGTGATGCTGGTATGCTGCTAGTCTATTGTGTACAAGTATTTTGTTGTTCCCTTCTAATTATTGCCAGTATTTATATTTCTCGGAAATGTCCTTATCTGCTTCTTTGATGTTTCTTTATCCACTGTAATGTTTCCCAACAAACTTTTCTTGTGTTAGCTATTTTCAGGTGCTAGACTTTGTTAGGAGGTATATTGGTTCGGCGACTCCATTGATTGCTGGGAATTCTATCTATACAGATTTACTATTTTTGAAGGTTAGCAAGAGAAAAAACTCCCTTAGCTATCTGCTAAAAATGAAATGGTTCATACAATTTTATCATGTCCTCACTTCTCTAGATGTTTCAGGTGACCTTTAGATTTTTTGGCATATTTATTACTATTGATGCTCCTGATTTGTACACATACCGAATACATTATTTAACTGTCGATAAAAAATACATTTATTTACTCTCCAGTAGATATTATTGTGAAAAAATAGTCCAGTATCCTTGCATGTGGATTGAGTAGGACTCCAGTTTTACTTTGCAACTTTTTTGCTGACACCTGTGTTTTTTATATCTAGGAGTACATGCCACAGCTTGCAGGCATATTCCCTCATGTGATAGTTGATGTGAGCAGCATAACGGCTCTGTGCATCCGCTGGTTCCCAAAGGGTAAATTACTTCAGTGTTTATCAATGCAGTGTTGCAGAATTTGATTGTGGTGTGTTCTCATCAGTTACCAGATTATACAAGTATGGTATTGCTAGTGGACTCAACCAAATCTATTTTTTGAGGTTGACTTTTGTAAACAAATAAATCCATGTATTTTGCATATTTCACCCTGATAGAACACTGGTATTTTCACATAGAAAAAAATTCTCTAGTTGAATTAAAAAGTTTCATAACTTCTAATCTTTTTAGTTATATAACCTGTTACTAGGCTGAAGGGGAGCCTTAGCGCAGTGGTAAAGCTGCTGCCTTGTGACCATGAGGTCACGGGTTCAAGTCCTGGAAACAGCCTCTTACAGAAATGTAGGGAAAGGCTGCGTACAATAGACCCAAAGTGGTCGGACCCTTCCCCAGACCCTGCGCAAGCGGGAGCTACATGCACTGGGGCTGCCCTTTAACCTGTTACTAGGCTCTGAGGCCACCTGCTATGCAATGGCGTATATGCCAAAACATAAAGATCCGCAGATCCAATTATGAAATAAAAGCTTTATTATTGAGCATTCTATTGAGATTTATAGTCGACATTAGTTGATTCTTTTAGTGTCTGTAATTCAAAACCGAACATGAATTTTGATTTCATCCCCGCCAGAGTCCCATTGGGGGACTCAAAGCCCAGCAAAATGCATTCTTGAGGTTGATTTATTGTGAAATCATTTTGTTTTGGTATTTATTTTCATTAATGTGCCAAATGCCGACACTGTACTGTGAGGTAGCTTGTATGCCTATATTTTGAAAATAAAGTTGGTCTGAAACATATCTTGCTAATTTTGAAAAATATTGCTAGGTGGTGTAAAATTTGAACAGTTCTTGAGTGTTCGCAAATTGCAACGATGTTTTGGTTTGATTTAATCGGTTTGAAGATATTCCTGTGGCAGAGAACTCACGATTACATAGGGGCAGACTTAAAGATCAGTTAGTGAGATGGGAAACATACTTGAGTACTATTGGAGTATAAAGGCTTTCATCCAATCTGGGCGTATTTCCTCATGATTATACTTGTTGGTTATTCGATAGTGGTTTGGAAACTGAAATTGGTTCAAATTGACCTTATGTGTTTCGTCGTCTTCACAACCGCTGATTTCCAAAGCAGAGCAGACCTAGTAATTTATTTTAATTTCATTTTGGATACATGGAATACTTGTGAAATTCTCCACATGACAAGGCTTTGCTTATTTTTTTATTTGATTTGACTGTTCACAGAAAGGAAGCAAGCTCCAAGAAAGGAGAAAAACCACAGGGCACTGGACGACATCAGAGAGAGCATCATGGAGCTGCAGTACTACAAGGAGAACATCTTCAAATCGCGGCAATCTAAGCATTAGCCTGTTGGGATTCATTAGCTCTCTTGATTATTGGGATGAAAACGTTCCCTGGTGTATGATCCTTCCATAGATTTGATGATGCTTAAATGGCCACGTGCCTTTGGGGTAACGCCAAGATTGTAGTCACATAGGGCATGTGTGGTTGGTGACCAACTTTGCCATGGCTTGCCACTTGTTTTTGTCACACTGGCAAAAGTGCTCCCTATCCCACTTTACTAGTTTTAGGGAAATCACTGCTTCACAGCTAGGAGATACCCTATAGTTTTAGTCCCTAAAAAAATTAAACACATTTTTAATACAAATAATTTCAAACACTTATTTAAACTAATAATGTACTACTCCCATTTTTTTAAATGTTGAGGTTAATTATGAAAAATGCATTTTTTGTTGACTTATTGGCATCTGCACCAATCCGCCACGCTTGAAACAGGGGATTGCCCTTGCGATGACCGAAATTGAGGCAACGATCTGTCAGGGTTTGCCTCATCTTCGTCATTGGGAATGACTTGCTTGGCATCGAACAACTGTCGTGGCCTAACAAATTTTGCAAGCATTCTCCAGTCAACCGCCTGCCACACGTTTGATTATCTGGTCCTGTAGGTTGATCCACCCACTTCATCTTGAATCTAACATGTTAAACTATTGATATATTTTGTTTTGATCTCATCAAGCATGATTTCTGCCATGCAACCTTTTTTAGAGCTTCACTAATGTGACCAGACATTACCGAAGAATTTACCTCTTGAAGAGAGAATGGTTGTCAATCGTCCATTGAAGGCCAGTTTTTCTTTGCTTTTTTCCAAAATCTGTACCTCTTATATGATTATTACTCCCTCCGTTTCAAAATAGATGACCCAACATTGTATTAATTTTGTAAGTTAGTATAAAGTTGAGTCATCTATTTTGAAACGGAGGGAGTATAATTATAGTATATGGTTGAGATTTGGATGAGGTCTTTATTATACGTTAGTACAGATACAGACTATTTCTTTGTGAATTAGTCAATACGTGCAAACCTTACCAGGCATAAAATCACAAGAAAACAGAACTATAAAATAAACGAGATTATGATGCATCAGAGATGTATACAACTCTAACTGGAGGACCATCTGGTTGCTCCAGCTACACCCTTCGTGATCCAACAACCAAGTCATAACTTATTTCCAGCCACAGATGTTGAAAATCATCATTTAAAAGTCACCAAAACAAGTTAGTTAATCAACAGTTATGCAAAATTCAATTGTGAATCTTGGATTGAAGTGAAAGAGAAGATAAATTCCGTCCATGGACTCACTTTTGAGCTTTGACCACTGAGAAACTATAAAATGTGGCTAAATATCCTCAAAAGCAATCTTTTCATTAAAGATTTCACTCCTACTATAATTAATTTCAGGGAAATACATTATATGGATACAGCCAAAAAGGAAGAAGAAATAATCTCTTCAATCAGTATTATGACACGCTTGCACCCTGCAATGATTTGCAGAAAACCATGCCTGCTGAGGTGCGCATTGGTTGCTCACCAAGAACTGCTACGCAGTTATCCGTTGTCTTAAGGTGAGGCTGAACAGATTCCCAAATCTTTTTCTTTTGAACCTGGCAAAAATACAGCAATCCATGAGATGTGTTGCTGCAAAATAACTACCATGGTAACCCATTTCTGCAAAATAATTTCTTACATAGGTTGGATTCATGGAAGTGGACAAAATTCAAAATGGCTCTAGGCCTATCAAGATTTTGAATATTATATTATTTCCACATAAATAACAAGTCATAGTATTTTAGCACTTATGTTTTACTAAGCGTTTCATGACCTAACAACCAGGGACTGCCTCTCAAGAATCCACAGCAGTTCCCAGAAAATATCAGCGAGATATCAGTTTTCACTGCAGGTTTTCTCACCAAATTTAGTCTGCATAAGATGCAGACCTGTATGCAAACCTAAGAATGAGTACTACATCACAAAGAAAGAAAGACAATGATGTGGCAGTTAGCCGTGTAAGCTGTTTCTGCAAATGACTCGGCGTAGAACAAATTGTGTGGAATTTGGCAAGAAATCTGTTTTCAATACATTACTTTTGCTCACTAGGTTTACATAAGCATCATATATTTTGAAAAGAAGTTGCAGAAAAATCCAGATAATTTCAAATATTAGTTTTGTGACCAATATATCAAGTGGGACATGGGTTGTAACTATGTAGATGGTTTATACCACATATATTATGTTCCTTGCTCTGAAATTCATGGAACAAATATTCGGTGGCTGTGTACTGGTTCATATGTGAATGCATAATGTACTACCCATGGTTACCAGTCTCAACTAAAACTGTAATCCCTTCCATGTACCTGACGCATTCATGAGAGCCATTGAGAGCAACATCTAATCAAAATAATATTGTCCATGGTAATATGTAGAACATTACGGAAAATCATTTCACAGTTGAATGGACAACATACACAGGAAATTAACTGTACTAATCTGCATTACTTAGCATAACAAGAATCGTCAAGAGACAATGCAAAGACAAATGTCTAAATTGTAAGTGATACCTGGTTTCCCGTTGCAGGTTCTGATTGAATACTCTTTTCATCTTCAGATCCAAACCATACCCTTTCACCGGGAACAGAACCTTCTGGAGGGGTAAGCAACTCAACAGTCTCGTGAGAAGCATCAGAGGCACACATAAGCATGCCACTAGACTTGATGCCGCGCATGTTTCTTGGTTTCAGGTTAGCAAGAACAATGACATTGCTGTCCTGCATAGAACGCATGCCACAGCTGATGTCATCAGTATTAAGTAAAATAGACGAAAATAACTTGCACTTCATTGCAGACCATCTATATACCCAAAAAAGTCAATAAACGAAACTGAATGCAACCGTAGAGTGAAGCATCAGGATCTTGGCTCAAGCTAGCCCAATCCTGGTTAATTCAGGAAGGTTGACACCTGGCATTATCTCAGCAAGTGAATCTATACTTCCTGCATAATCATTAAGTAAGTTGAACACTTCACCTAATAGCGATGTTCCTGTTAATTGATACTAAAATTTCCAGTTCGTCCACATAGATTCTAGTACTAAGGAGTGGTCATTTGTCCGCCGAAATGCGCAAATTATGTGATCTATACAAAAACTTGAGCATACTAGACAAGTACATCATTGCTGAATAACTGAAAAATCTTGGACGGACGAGTTCTCATGCATCATTCATTACCTGGAGTTGGTCGAGGGGTAAGTACTTGACGAGGCCGCTGCAGATGGTGCGCGGCTGCTCCTCGCCGACGTCGACCTCCTCCACGTACAGAGTATCCGCCTCCGGGTGCAGCCACGCCTTGACGACCCGCCCCACCCGGATGTCCAGGAGGCCAGCGAGCTCGCCCACCGGAACCTCGCCTTTCTCCTCCTCCCCAACTGCGGGCGCCGGCTTCTTCTCCTCTACGGCCGCCTTCGTAGGTGCCGGTGCGACGACGGCGTCGGAGGAAGGCGAGGAGCAAGAGCAGAAGAGGGCGGCGGATCTAGCAGCCGATAACGGTGCCAAGAACGAGATGGATTTGGCTATGCCCCTGAAGCCAACTCGGGGCCTGGCGAGGATGGGGGTTGAAGGTGAGGAAGGGAGGAGGAGGTGGACGCGACAGCTTGATGCGAAGGCCATTCTCGCTGCGGCCATCATCGTCGTGGCGCTCTCAGGCTTCAGCTGCCGCCGGTCCGGTTCGTCTCCGCCGCAAGGCGAGGCGCTGGGATTTTATCCGATGGGGAAGGAAGGGCCCAAGTGATCCACAGGCCCATGTGTGGAACAGTGCAAGCAAATGCGTCGTTTTTTTACAGAACTCTTTTTTTTTTTGCAGGCAAATCAGAGAGTTTTATTCAGAAGGCTGGTCACAAGGAAGCTAGGGGTCTCAGCCAGCCAAGTTTCGGTCACATTCAAGGTGCATGCATGTTTTGCACAAAGATACGCCGGCACATTAGCTGACCTATTTACATGTTGAATATCAAAAGAAGTGAAACTACTAATGAGTTCTCCTATTTCTAACAAGATTGGCGCCACAATAGAACGAGAAAAGTGGCGAGTACTCCATAGCGACACAAGCTCTAGACAATCTACCTCATTATCGCCTGAAGGAAGCCTCGAAGTGCTGCCAATCGAGCTCCTTCCCGCAGCGCCAAAGCCTCAATGATCAGGGGATCAGACACCCCAGAGAAAGGTTTACTCCAAGCTCCCAAAAACGCCGTGGACGAACGGGCGACTCCACCTGCTCTCCCATTACAGTACTCACTCCGTCTTGCTGCATCAGTCAGACATGTAACAAAAGGCAGACATTTACTCCCTCCGTTCTAAAATAACCCAACTTTGTAATAAAGTTAATACAAAATTGAATCATCTATTTTGAAATGGAGGGGTAACAAAAACCTAATCCCTATAACCCTGCACGTTCCTCCTGGCGCGCCGGTGATGCGCCCACCTCGGGTCCGATCGCTACGCCCGATCTCACTTGGCCGATGGTGACCTCGGTCATGGTGCGTCGGTTGCCTTTCCGGCCTTTCATATATGCGTTCGGCGTCCCCTTCCCCTGCCCGTCCGGCTCCTCCCAAACCTTGTCCCGACCATGCCCTCCCAGCCCCGCCCCGGCCGGCGCTCGGGGGAACCCTCCCTCCCTGCTCGACCGGGACGAAGGGAGCGGGCCACACCGCGGGCCAGGTCGCGCCAGTCCTGGACCCCCCGGGCCGGCCCACGAGGCCCTTGGTGGGCTCCTGTGGATCTGGGCCAAGGCCCGTTGTGGCAGCCAGGCCATCTATTTGGCTCCCGCTAGGGTTCCCTGTTCCCCCCGTCCTTGTCTCGTCCTCCCCCGCCGCATCGAGCCTGTTGTCCCCCTCCTTACCCTCGTCGCCGCCCCTCCTGCCTCGGCTCCGGCGTCGCCGTACCCGCCGCCCCCTGCGGCCATGACTCGCGAATGGGGGGACGACACCGTCGCCCCAAGCGCCACCTGGATGATCGACGTGAC